TTTTCTTTGATAATTTCTTGAAATATGCTGTCCAGGTCGTCCTTTTCATTATGGCCAATGATTATGACCATTGTCTCTCCTGGATCTCTTTTCTAAATCAGTTGTTTTTCCATGAAGTATTTATATTTTTTCTTTTTTTTTTCATTCTTTTGAATTTGTTTGATTGATTCTTGATGTCTTATAGAGTTAGCTTCCACTTGCCAAATTATAATTTTTAAGGAGTTGTTTTCCTCAATTAGCTTTTGTACTTTCTTTTCTATTTTGCCAATTGTGCTTTTTAAAGAGTTTTTTTTTCCAGTAGATTTCTGTATCTCCTTTTCTATTTTGGCCAATTCTACTTTTTAAGCAGCTGTTTTCTTTTTCAAAGTTGTTGACTCTTTGCATAATTCTCTTGCATCACTCTCATTTCTTCTTCCAATTTTTCTTTTACCTCTCTTACATGAGTTTTAAGCTCCCTTTTGAGCTCTTTCATGAGTTCTTTCTGGGCTTGAGACTGCTTCCTGTTTTTCTTTAGATTTCTCTTAGGTGTTTTGACACTGTTGTTCTTTTCTGAGTTTATGTCTTAATCTTCCTTGTCACCATAACAACTTCCTATGGTCATATTATTTTTTTGTTGTCGTATGCTCATCTTTTTTGGTCTTTTTTCTTTCTTTTAAATTTGAGCTCTGCTACCAGGGTGGAAGGGGCACTATCTCAGGCTTCTTCTTCTTCTTTTTTTTTTTTGCTTTTAGGCAATTGGGGTTAAGTGACTTGTCCAGGGTCACACAGCTAGTAAGTGTCAAGTGTTTGGTCTGAGGCCAGATTTGAACTCAGGTCCTCCTGACTTCAGGGCTGGTGCTCTATCCACTGTGCCACCTAGCTGCCCCACTATCTCAGGCTTCTTGTGCCAGGGGCAGCAGACATTGGCTATTTACCTGGTGCTGCACTGATGTTGCCCTGAGGCCAACTCAGGCTGCACTGCAGGGGTAGGGGTGGTGCCTGGCCATAGGATCTGGCAGGTTACCTGGTGCGGAGCCAGGGTCCTAGTGCTGGTGTGTGCTGAGGTTGGTGGGGTATTTCTCTATTTCCCTGGGATACGCTAAAGCATGTGGTGGTCTGGCCTCTGGAGTATGTAAGAGTAGTCCAGGGCTACACGGAAACAGGTGGCAGTTCTCATGAGTGGAGCACGCAGATTATCCTGGTATTGACATTTGCCTGCTCCACCGCACTGAGGCTCAGGATCTACCACTGGTTTCCTGAGATGGGGCTTCTGCTGGTTTACTATGACACTTCCTTTCCTGTACTGAACTCCCCTTTTACCTGAGTAAGACAAATCTTTTCCGCTGATCTTCCAAGTTTCTTGGGCTCAACTATTGTTTCATCCTATCTTTTTGCTGGTTCTGCTGTTCCGCGATTTGTTTTGGGGTGCTATTTTGTGGTTGTTTGTAGCAGTCTCTGCTTTTTAGTATGCTATCCAGGTTCACCACAGATTTCCTTTCAAGGAGCAAATATCTTTTGATTTCATGGCTGCAATGGCCATGTATAGTGATCTTTGAGCCCAAGAATATAAAATCTAACACTGTTTCCTTTACTTCTCCCTCTTATTTTCCAGGAAGTGATGAGACCAGTTGTCAGTATCTTAGGGTTTTGGTTTTTTTTACATTAAGATTCAGTACAGCTTTTACAATCTCCCCTTTCACCCTTTTCAAGAGGCTTTTAAATTCCTCCTCACTTTCTGCAGTCAAAGTGGTATCATCTGCATATCTACCTTCTCACAGCCAGACGTGTAGCCATTCCTCCTCCTGAATTTGTCTCCATATGGGACATTGAAGTTTACTTCTCTCATTCAGTTGCTCTTTGAGTATAGTGGTGGTGAGGGGGTGAGTATTTAGAGAGGGGGTGGTGTGACCCAATGTGACAATCCGTTTTTCTCAAGATGTGGGCATTGTACCTTCTTCATTTTCTTGCATTTATATAAGAGCCAGCTAAAGGCATGAATCTGAAATTCAAACAAGAATCTTGCTTTCATCTAGAAGCTTTCCAGGAATTTCTCCCTACCCTCCTTCCAATGTCAGTTGTCTCTAAGGGTTTTATTTATATCACTTTTATGTTATAAAGAATATTGAAATAGGGAATTTGGATGACATAGGGTACTGAGAGCCCAAGACTACACAGTTATTCAGTATCAGAACTAGAAATTAAATTCCCTAATTCCTAGCTCCAATTTCAAATCAAGTCAAAAAGCATTTATCAAGTACCAACCAATTCTGCTAAGTACTGGAATAAAAAAAAATTTAATTAACCTTGGCCCTCAAAGGGCTCACAGTATACTGGGAAAGACAACATGTAAATACCTATGCACTATCAACATATATACAGAATAAATCAGAGATAATAATCAAAAGAGGGGAGGCAGTAGCTTTAAGCAAGAATCATGAAAGGCTTCTTGGAGAAGGTGGGATTTTAGCTGGGACTTGAAGGAATTCCAGGGAAGCCAGGCTATAGAGACGAGAAGGGAGAGAATTCCAGGTATCAGAGACAGCCAGTGAGAAGTGAAATCTCAGGAGATGGAGTGTCGTGTTGAAGAAACAAAGAGGCTATTGTAGCTGGATGGTAGAGTATAGAGGAAGGAATGAAGTGTAAGAAGACTGGAAAGGTAGGAAGGGGCCAGGTTATGATGGACTTTACAAGCCAAAAAGAGAATTTTATATTTAATCCTAGGTGTAATATAAAAGTCATTGGAATTTATTTAGTGAGGGGGTGGTATGATATTATCAAGGAATAGCTTTAGGAAAATCACTTTGGTAGCTGAATCTTGGATGAATTGGAGTGGGGAGAGAACTGAGGCAGGGAGGCCAACCAAGAAGGCTGTTGCCATAATCCAAGTCTGAAAAGATGAAAGCCTGAACCAGAGTGGTGGCAGTATCATAGGAGAGAAGGAGGTAGTTACGAGAAATGTTATAAAGGTAGAATCAAAAGGCCTTAGCAAATTATTGAATGAAGGAGGGGGATGAGAAGGAGAGAAATGAGATGAAGTGAAAGTGATACTAGGTTTCAAGCCTGGGTGACTGGGAGGATTATGATGCCCTCAATAATAATAACAGGGAAGTTCAAAAGAAGGGAGGATTTGGGGAGAAAGATAATAATTCCAGTTTCATGTTGAGTTTAAAATGTCTATGGAACATACAGTTTGAGATATTCAATAGACAGAAATATAGGACTAGAGGTTAGGACTGAGATGGTAATTGAATCTACGGAAGATCTCTAAGAGAAATAGTATAGAGGGAGAAGAGAAGAGGGCCCAGGATAGAACTTTAAGGAATACCCATGGTTAGCAGGTATGATCTGGACAGAGATCCAGCAAAAAACCCCAAACAAACAAACAAGCAAAAACAAAAACAAAAAACAAAACTGAGAAGCATCAGTTAAGTAGGAGAATGAGGAGAAATCAGTTCACAAAAACCTAGAGATAAGAACATAACAAAGAAAAAAGAGTGATCAACAGTGTCAAAAGCTGCAGAGAGGTCAAAAAGGATGCTTTATGAGAAAAGGCCATTAGATTAAGAGATCATTTGGGAACTTAACAGAGAGAAATTTCAATTGAATAATGAGGTTGGAAGCCCAACTGCATAGAGTTGGATAGAGAGTAGGAAGAAATGAAATGAAGGCATTGTTTTTTGTTTTTTGTTTGTATTTTTCTTGGTAATTTTTTTAAATTTTACACTTAAATACAAAATGAAAGAAGACAAAAAAAAAAACATTTCCATGTGCATAGCAGACCATAAGAGAAGATTCAACATAAAATGATAAATTTCCATTTCAAGAAAACCCATAAATTAAATACTATACATTGCTTTCAAAACTGCCCAGCTTTTCTTTGCTTCCTTGTTGATTTTCTTTTGTTCTCTGCTGTGCACTTTTTACTTCATTTTTTCCTCCTCTACCCCCCACCCCACTCTAAAGAAGACTACAATTAAGCATGGATATATCTATAAACATTCACATATATACACATATACACTCATACACATATGTGTAAGATCATACTGTGTTTATTTCCTCTTAACATCTGTTTCTCTGAAGGTAGATAGCATCTATATCATAAATCTAGGTCTTTCCATGTTTTCCTAAGTCAACCAGCTCATCATTTCCTACACCACAGCAATATTACTTTCTGGATTCAGACAACAGTTTCCTTCATAGGATCTTTGAGGTTAATTTGGGTATTTATAATAGACTAACTTGGTTGCTTAAAATTGTTCTTTAAGAACAATAATGTTGTTACCATATACAATGTTCTCTTGATTCTACTCATTTCATTCTTCATTATTTCATGGAGGTTTCTCTGTGCTTTTCTAAAATCATTGAACTTATCATTTCTTATAGCATAGTAATATTCTATTGATACCCTTCTCAAAGTTTAGCCATAAAAAAATGAGGAAAGATACGAGACAATAGTTATGGGGATGGATGGATCAAGTAAAGAATTTTTGAGGATGGACAAAACATGAGAATGTTTGTAGGCAACATAGAATCTGGTTCAAAATTTTATAGACTTAAATCTAAGGTAGGTCATAGCTCAAGCAACAGGAAATCACATTTTATAGGTGTATCATAAAGCTTGGAGGCTTTATGTAAGGGTTTTCGTTAGTAAAGAGTTATATGCAATTTAGCATCCATCAGACAGAGCCAACTTGGGCTATTTTTCAGGTAATAAAATATAATTGTGCTGCTTGTCCTAGAATACAAAAAGAAGGGCAATTAATATAAGCTTCAGAGAGACAGATTTGGGTTTTAGGTAAAGAAAAACTTTCCTGAACATTTAGAGTTATCCAAAGTTAGAATACACTATCTCATAAGGTATTGGGGATGTTGTAATGGCAGAGGAGCCTTTCTAGAATTAAGGTTCTGTGAGTCTATGACCACTGTACAGAGCAGCACCATTTGAATAAATTAGCTAAAAATAAATAAAAGCAACCACATAATTCCTAATTATTTCTCTTCCGTCTTGTTTCTCAAAGGGTTCCATTGTGGTAGGGATAGACTATGACTGCCAGGAGAAGATGGTATACTGGACAGACGTTGCTGGGCGTGTAATCAGTCGGGCCAGTCTGGAATTAGGCAATGAGCCCGAAATTGTCATCAGTTCAGGTAAATAGTGGCGGCAATTACCACAAAACCAACATTTTAAATTTGATTTTTCATTATTTTCAGATCATTTGACTATTTTGTGCTACAGTCTGTCCTCTGGTTTCTTCTCATACTCAATATCACTCCATCTCACTACTGTCATCAAACAACAATGGTTGAATTGTACATGTCTGTAGAGTTGCCCAAAATGCAAGCCCTTTTCTATCTAATAATCATGATCTAATATGTAGTACTTGAGGGTAAGGAAGGTCCTTTGAGTATCACCAGAGAAAGGAATGACAATGTTAGTCTAAATTTTGGTGGTGATTGTTAATACTTGTTTACACTGGAATCCTCAGTGCCTCCATATTGCACCTAAGATTGTGTGACTTCCAATGTAAAAGAGAAACATTTTGAGGAGCATCAGTGGGTAAAGCACCAAGGAAAAAATGGCCACAAAAATACAATCTTGCCACTATAAAATAAGATGCAATTGGTCTTGGTCATTTTCATTTTTAAATTTTTAAAAATTTTATCAGAGAGCATAAGGAAGATTGTGATAATTCAACTTATTTAAACATAGTAAGTGTTTCTTCAATAATTAATAAGGGGCAGTTAGATGGTGCAGTACATATAACACCGGCCTTGGTCTTCAAATTTGGGCTCAGATACTTGATACTTATTAGCTGTGTGACCCTGGGCAAGTCACTTCATACCATTGCCTCCCCAAAAAATAAAAATAATAATCAATTAATAATCTACAAGAATTGTTTAAGTACTTGTACTGTATACTAGACCCTATGCTGGGCTCTGATATTTAAATAATAATAGCTGATATTTACATGATACTTTAAGGTTTATTTTAATTAATATATTGTTTCATTTGACCCTCACAACAATCTTGTAGCATCATTTTCTTTCCTTTTTTTTTGCAAGGCAAATGGGGTTAAGTGACTTGCCTAGGGTCACACAGCTAGTAAGTGTCAAGTGTCTGGTCTGAGACTAGATTTGAACTCATGTCCTCCTGACTTCAGGGCTGGTGCTCTATCCACTGCACCACCTACCTGCCCCTGCATCCTTTTCTTGATAGGGAAACCTGAAGCTCAGAAACATTGCAACTTTCCAATAGCACTTATCTACTAAGTGTCTGAAGAAGGATTCTAACCCAGTCTTTCTGACACCAACACCAGCACTCAAGACATAATACCATAGACCCTTTATTCTTTCTATTATCTCTCCTCTTCTGCTCCTCCAGATTTCTTCTACTATTAGTTTGGGTCTTGTGATTTTAATTATCTTAGGATTCTTATTTATAGTATAACATGGAAGGGAATATCTGTGCTTCAAGTTCATTAATTATCTCAGTGTTTAAGATTTGCCTTTGCTTCCTTTCTAGGACTGATGAGCCCAGAAGGACTTGCCATTGACTATTTCCATAGAACCATGTTCTGGACAGATAGTGGCCTTGATAAAATAGAGAGTGCCAAGTTGGATGGTTCAGAGCGCAAGGTTCTCTTTGACACTGATCTAGTGAATCCTCGAGCCATCACTGTGGATCCAATCAGAGGGTCAGCTTGACTTTCTTAATATTCTCTATTGCTAAAGGACAATATATTTATAAAGACTTAAATCATAAATATAGTGTGAACAGGGGAAAAACAAAATTTCAATTACTTTCTTCATAATTTTTTTTTATTTACTTAGAACAAATATTATCCTCATTTTATGGATGATAAAATTGAGGTCAGACTCAGAGAGATTAGATGACATGGTCACACAGTTCTTACATGTCAGAATAAGGATTTGAACCCCATTGCTTCTTTCAGCCTTTATTAGTTGAAAAAATACATTGGCAAAACTACAAAAGAATTTGATCCATTAAATGTACTCTGAATGTGTGCATATGTGTGTGTTAATTTGTTGCCACTCAGTGGTGCTCAGCTTAAAATCTTTTCCATTTTTTTAGGTAAGACCATCAATTCACACATGAAAGTTTAAAAATTAGTTTTCTAGTGCTTTTTAGACCAAGCAGGGTATTTAACTCTTGGTGTACAAATCCTAGTTCTGACATTTATAATTTATGTGACTTTGTGTCACTTAATCTTATTGGGACTCAGTTTCCTCACCTATAAAATAAAGGGATAGGATTAAATTGCCTCTGAGATCCCTTCTAGCTCTAGATCTAAGATCCTATGAACAAGAATCCTGTGAAACTTCACATTATTTAAGTGATATTTGTATCAAACTAAATTCCAGAGAAACCTCTCCTCAGAGTATCTATCTTTTCAAAACTTTTTCCTGTAAATTATTTTTAAGGTTATTGTTTTTGTTCCAGAAATGCAAAGTGTCCTCTACTTAGGCCTCTATCAGTTTTAGTTGTATTCTGCATGTGTTCCTGTCTTGACTGCTTGGTCCACTTCAAATGCATATGTAATCTTCTTATGTCTATAGTGGTCTGCAAATTGAACATCTGAGGGACTAATTATTTTCTCTTGTGAGCATTGCTGATAATTAGGATTACTTTCTAACTAGCTTATAATGCCACCTTTGTTATTTATGATCTTGCAGTCTGAGTGAAAAATGTGCTTTAAGTTCCTATCCAATCTGAAAGCACTTTCTAGGTGCTTGGCACTGTTAGGTGCTAAGCATAAATGTAAAAATAATACACTCCATGTTCTCATAGAGTATGCATTCTACTGAGCAGAAACAATATATAAATAGATGAGTAAGTACATATCATACAGAAAATAAATACAAAATAATTTCAGAGGGGAAGAATTGGAGGAATCAGGAAAAGTTCATTGCAGGAGTCAGATATCTTTGGATACTTTAATCCATTCACATTTAAAGTGATGAGAATTACATTTATACTTCCCTCCATTTGCCTGTAATATTTTTTTCCAGGTTAAGGTTCCCTTTACCCTCCTCCATAAAGGGAGTACTTTATATCTTCAGTTATTTCAAGGCAGTCTTATTCCCACTAGCTCTCATTCCCTTATCCTTAAGCCTCCCATCTCTTGTTTGTTTCCTCTTTCACTAATTTTAGAGTTTTGCTTAACTTAGTTCTTTTTTCCTCCTTTTGTCTAGTCATAGAAATTTTCTTCCTTTTTTCTTCTCAATTAAGTAGTCAAGTAAAATCTCTTAACTTGTTTTATTAGTTTAAAATTTTAATTTTCTATACCTTTTTCTTTTTTAAATTCTATTTAATATTTTGTTACCAGTTTCATGTTAATAATTTTTAACATTCATTTTTTAAAACTTGGAGTTCCAAATTCTCTCCCTTCCTTCCTCCCCACCCCTTCCCATTGAGAAGGCAAGCAACTTGATATAGGTTCTATATGTGTAGTCATGCAAAACCTATCCATAATACTTATGTTGTAAAAGAAAACATAGACAAAAAAAAATAACCTCAAGAAAGATAAAATTTAAAAAAAGTATGCTTCAATCTGTATTCAGACACCATCAGTTCTTTCTCTGGGGATGGGTAACATTTTTCATCATAAGTCCTTCAGAGTTGTCTTGGATCATTGTATTGCTGAGAATAGCTAGGTTATTCACAGCTTATCATTTTACAATACTGCTGTTACTTTATACTCAATAAAGTTCACTTTGCAACAGCCTGTGCAAGTCTTTCCAGGTTTTTCTGAGAGCATCCTATTCATCATTTCTTACAGTACAGTAGTATTCATTCATAATCACATACCACAACTTGCTCAGCCATTCCCCAATTGATGGCTGTCACCTCAACTTCTGATCCTTTAACCCAAGAAAAGAGATGCTGTAAATATTTTTGTATGTATAGGTCCTTTTTCCTTTTTGTTTTTTATCTATTTTGGGATACGGACCTAGTAGTGGTATTTCTAGGTCAAAAAGTATGAATTGTTTTATAGCCCTTTGGGCATAGTTCCAAATTCCTCTATAGAATTGTTGAATTAGTTCACAGCTCCACCAACAATGCATTAATGTCTCATTTTTCCCAAACCCACTCCAATATTTCTCATTTATCTCTTCTGTTTAATCTAATAGGTATAAAGTAATAGCTCAAAATGGCTTTAATTTGCATTTATCCAATCAATAGTGAGTTAGAGCATTTTTTCTTATGGTTATAGATAGCGGTGATTGCTTCATCTGAAAACTGTTCATGTGTTTTGATTATTTATCAGTTGGGGAATGGCTCTTATGTTTATAAATTTGACTCAGTCATCTATACGTTTGAGAAATGAGGCCTTTATCAGAGAAACTTGCTTCAAAATTTTTTCACAGTTACTGTTACTAATTGTGTTTCCCTCCATCCTATTCTCCCCTACCCAGTTTATTCTATTCTATCTCTCTTTTCACCCTGTCCCTCCTCAAAGGTGTTTTGCTTCTGACTACCCTCTCCCCCAATCTGCCCTCCCTTCTATCATGCCCTCTTCTCTTATCTAGTTCCCCTCCTACTTTCCTGTAGGGTAAGATAGATTTCTATACCCAATTGAGTGTGTATATTATTCCCTCTTTGAGCCAGTTCTGATGAGAGTAAGGTTCACTCACTTCCCTTGACCTCCTCCCTCGTTCCCTCCACTGTAAAAGCTTTTTCTTGCCTCTTTTCTGTGAGATATTTTACTCCATTTTATCTCTCCCTTCCTCTTTCTCCCAGTACATTTCTCTCTCAACCCTTAATTTTATTTTTTAGATATGATCTCTTTATATTCAAGTCATACCTCTGCCCTCTGCCTATATATGCTCCTTTTAACTATCCTAATAATGAGAAAGGTCTTATGAGTTACAAATGTCATCTTCCCATGTAAGAATGTAAACAGTTTAACCTTATGATTTCCCTTTTCTGTTTTCCTTTTTATGTTTCTCTTGAGTTTTGTATTTGGAAGTCATATTTCCTATTCAGCTCTGGTCTTTTCATCAAGAATGATTGAAAGTGCTCTGTCTCATTGAATATCCATTTTTTTCCGCTGAAGGAGTATATTCAGTTTTGCTGGGTAGGTGATTCTTGGTTGTAATCCAGCTCCTTTTGCCCTCCGGAATATCATATTCCATGCCTCTGATACTTTAATGTAGAAGCTGCTAAATCTTGCATTATCTTGACTGTGGTTCCACCATACTTGAATTGTTTCTTTCTGGCTATTTACAATATTTTCTCCTTGACCTGGGAGCTTTGGAATTTGGCTATAATATTCCTGGCAGTTTTTATGTTGGAATTTCTTTCAGGAGGTGATCAGTGGATGTTTTCAATTTTTTATTTTATTCTCTGGTTCTAGAGTATTGGGGCAGTTTTCCTTGATAATTTCTTGAATGATGATGTCTAGGCTCTTTTTTTGATCATGACTTCCAGGTAGTCCAATAATTTTTAAATGATCTCTCCTGGATCTGTTTTTCAGGTCAGTTGTTTTTCCAATGAGATATTTCACATTGTCTTCTATTTTTTCATTCTTTTGGTTTTATTTTATTGTTTCTTGAGTTCTCATTAAGTTGTTAGCTTGCATTTGCTCCATTTTAATTGTTAAGGAATTATTTTTTTCAATGAGCTTTTCGCTCTCATTTTCCATTCAACCAATTCTGCTTTTTGGAGCATTTTTATCCTCATGGGTTTGGGACCTCTTTTATCATTTGGCCCAGTCTGTTTTTAAGGTGTTATTTTATTCAGTATATTTTGTCTCCTTTACCAAACTGTTGACTCTTTTTTCATGATTTTCTTGCATTACTTTAATTTCTCTTCCCAATTTTCCTTTACCTCTCTTACTTGATTTTCAAAATCCTTTTTGAGCTCTTCCATGGCCTGAGACTAATTCATATTTTTCTAGAGGCTTTGGATGTAGGAACTTTGACTTTGTTGTCTTTTTCTGAATATATATTTTGATCTTCCTTGTCACCACAGTAACTTTCTTGGGTCAGAATTTTTTTTTTCTGTTTGCCCATTTTCCCTAGTCTATTACTTCACTTTTAACTCTTTGTTAAAGTAGAGCTCTGCTTCCACGGTAGAGGGCACACTGCCCTAATATTCAGGGGTTTTGTCCAGCTGATTTCAGGGATACTTGTAGGGACCTGTAAGTTTTCAGTTCTCTCAAGGTGGTATGATCCCAGGAGAGGTGTTGACTCTTTTCTGCCCTGGAACTGCGAGGGTCCCTCTTCCACTGCTTCCACAAGGTCAACTATGCCGGTGTTCCTTCTCGCCCTGGGACTGCCACCCAGGACCAGATTTAAGTATGGACAAAACAGCAGAGTCCTCAATCAGTGCTAGTGAAAAGACCCCTATACTCTTCTTCTGATCAGTTGTTTGACCCCCTTAATGTCTGTGGACTGAGAACTCTGGAAGCAGCAGTTGCTACTGCTCATTTAGTAGCTCCCAAGGTCTGCTCCTGGTTTGCTGAGGCGAGGGCTATGCTGATGTGGCCTGTGCTGTCACACTTTCACTTGGGTGTGACAAACCTTTCCTGTAAACCTTCCAAGTTGTCTTTGGCATTATTGGGCTGAGAGGTCTGGAAACCATCACTGCCGCCAGTGATTTAGTTGCCCTGAGGTGTGCTGGGGCCTGCTCTATGCTGGACTGCACTCCTTTTTCACCCTGGTGTAGCAG